GAGGGGCCTTTTCTCCACCCCCCATCTTGCCGTCGCTCGGACGTCCATTTCCCGTAAAATTGTTCGGTTTCGTGCGTGTTTTTGTTTGCTCGATGGTCCAGGATGGTCTTCAAGGGTCCTCGCCGAGAAAAAAATACACATGTCCGAGCGATGCCAGGCCATGTGGGCCACCCCCCATTGCCACCCGCACGATCTCTGTTCACAACGTCAGAGGGCCAGGTTCTGGGGGCTATCATTCACTAGGGGCTCCGACGGCCGTCCAGGGCGACCCGGGCACGCACGGAGCGCTCTCGGCGAAGGCGCAGCTGCTGGGGCGCCTCCCGAGGCGAGAGGACCTCCAAGAGAACCCGCGAAGACCTCCGAACTCTGCAAGACGCCGCCCTCGGCGGCTTCGCAAGACACCGCCCTCTACGGTTTCTACTCTGGGCGAGCCGCAGCGCGCAACTGAGATTTTGGGGAACAAGCTTCGGGCCGGGCGAAAGGGGGGGATAGCAAAGGGGGGTATGAGAATCAGCTCACGTAGCTGGTTTTCCCGACGCCTCCCGGCGCCGGAAACGACTATGCATCGAGGAACGGGCCCCTCGGTGGGGCCGAAACCAGCTGCACGCAGCAGATTTCGTACCCCCCCCTTTCCCAATCCCCCCCTTTCGTCCGGCCCGAAAACTGGCACGCGTGAGCAATCCATTCTGCAAACGCTGAACCCACATCTGTTGCTATCTCTTGGGGCCGTATCCTTGACTTCCGCTGGCTTCCGCTGGCGGACAGCCACCGTTACAGGGCCGCCAGCTTCCGGCGACCTCCCGTCGCCTGGCGCCGAGCAGGAGATGGCAGCTCCCTCGATCCTCCAGCGCGATGCCCTTTCTGCAATGCCTCATACATCTGGGACGAAGCTCCGTGAATGGCCACGCAAACGCAACGTCATCCAGACAGATACTGCGGGAGGGACGGAAGAGTAGGAGGAGGAGGAGGAGGAGGAGGAGGAGGAGAAGGCACAGCGCCGATGCCATCTCCGTCTTTCTCGCCCCTACCCCCGTGGCAGATCGGTGGCAATCTCAGCGGTCCTACCAATCGCTGTGGCTCCCGCATGGGGGGGTGCTGCCAAGGCTTTCCCAGTGGCCTCCGCGAGGGCCCGAGGCTCCGATGACTCTCCGCCGAAGGCAAAACTCACGAGGGAGGCCACGAGATCATGACAAGGTGGGAACCCTCGGCCGCACTGAGGGCCACCGCTGAGGGGGGCGCCCGCCCGCGGGTGACAAGTAGCGAAAGGAGGGGGAGGAGGAGGAAGGGCGAAGAGGAGGAGGGGCGCGGCGTCGTGAAGAGGAGGGAGGGCGAAGAGGCGGAGGAGGGGCGCGGCTTCGTGAGGGAGGAGGAGGCAGGGTAAAGAGGAGGGAGGGTGAGGAGAAGGAGGAGAAGGAAGGGTGAAGAGGCTTCGCCTCAGCGAGGAGGTCTGCGCAGAGCCTCAGGTTCTCCTGGGCCGCCGCGTCCGGCCCGACGCCCTCCCCCAAGGCCGCGCTCCGGGACACGTGCGTCCGCGCCTGGCGGGGCCCGTCGCTGCCGCGTCGGGAGGTCGGCTCGGGTTGCCGCGCTCGTCGGAGAGGGCTCTCGAGGGCCGGGCCGAGCGGCCCAGGCCAAGCAGCGGTGGCGAACGAGCTGCGGCGTGCTTCTCCTCCCCTTCCCTCGCCCCCCCCCCCCACCCCTTCGCTGCCACGGCGCCCTCGACGTGCCTGCGCAACAAAAGTACACCGGAGAAGATGACTAGCCTTTTGTTGATGGGGCCACGGTGCGTGTGAGGGGTGTGCCGAAACGGGCAAGAGTCACCATGCGGACGCAGCCACTGGAGCCTTGGGTGGAGCTCCCCATGGGGCCACTATGCGTGTGAGGGGTGTGCCGAAATGGGCCCGAGTCACCCGAGTCACCATGCGGACATAGCCTCTGGGCCCTTGGGTGGAGCTCCCCATGGGGCGAAATGGACCGGACCATCATGACGCAGCCACTGAGGCCTTGGGTGGAGCTCCCCACGGAGCCACGAAACGTGTGAGCAGTGTGCCTGAGTGGACCTGAGCCACCATGCGAGCGCAGCTACTGTGGCCTTGGGTGGAGGTCTCCATGGGGGGGCGGCCACGAAACATGTGAAGGAAGTGTGCCGAAATGCGAAGAGGGAAGACGATGCAGATGGCAGCGCTGCGAATTCAAACTGAGGACCCAGCACACGGGAGGGTTGGGAAAAAGAACTGCATCGGCTCGGGCTGCATCGGCACACTGTGGAAAACGAGCCCGGTCCGCTGCTTCAGGATAAAGAGCAACGCCACGCCATGAGGACATGACGGCGTCAAGGGGGGGGGTATTTAGGTGCCGCGGCGCGTCTGGTGTATCCTCTGCGCGCCGCGTTACCGCGCGTGCCAGGAGCAAGGCATTCAAAGGTCGGCCCAGAGCAAACCGAATGCGATGGGGGCGAACGAAGCCATGCAACCATCAGTACCCAAGGGCCTTACAACGCATCTGTCTTCGCACCAGGAGGTCTCGACCCCTTCCCCAGGACCGTTGATGTTCATCCTGAGTCGTGGTCTTCTGACCGGTCCTGAGCCCGAAGAGGCCCCCCGGAGGCAGAAACTTGTCCGAATGCCTGGCTCGCAAGTAGGTCACGACGCGAGGAAAAGCCCTGCCACCCGCCAATCCGACTGTTCCTAATGTTCGGCTCCATGTGTCCCCGATGTCGACGACGGGCCCGATATGCCAAATTCTATGCTCAACGCCGGTTGAACAAATGAGATCGTCAAAAATCTGAAACAGCCCTGACCTAGTATCCGCAATCTTCTGGGCGAGTTTGCAAGCAGGGCGGAAATGTCCGCCCTGCTTTGCCGTTGCTATTTCGGCAAGACCTCCGCAGGAACATCCGGCTTACTTTTCTGAGGCGGAGACTTCCGCCCTCCGTTTTCGCATCGTTCGGGGTGCATGTCCGACCCTTGTTGTTTGAATCGGGACCCAACCACAGTGTGGCGGATCCGAGGTCAGGGTGGGCATCGGGATCGAATCAGATCGTGCCCGGTTATCGTCGGCATCGGATCGGACCGGTCGGATCGAGGTGTGGCGCTGCCTGGCCGTCCTGCCTCGGCAGCCGCAGGTGGCCGAACCTCTCCAGGAAAGGCTCGCGCGCCCACGACCGCAGGGCCCGCCAGCCCCCCAGCGCGTGCTGGTCAGCGGACGAAGAACCGAGAACGAATCTCAAGGATCAAGTGAACGTTTTCTTATTCGGCGTTTCGACTTTGGGCGGGATGGGGGGGGGTCTGGCTCTGGGCGTCTGCTTGATGCGGCTGTTTGCAGCAGTGCGTGAGGGGGAATGGGGGTGCGAGGGCCCGCGCCGATCGGCAAAACAATGAATAAGAAAACGATCACCAAGCGACGAAGATAAACATGTTTGCGTGTGTTTCACCCTCGCTTGGCCACCAGGAGGCTTCTCGTCGCCACGATTGGGTCTGTCTCAGAAAACAATAATTAGAACGCACCGCAGGATGTGACCAGGGATGATCGCTTTCGACCCCAGAATGGGCCACACACCTTTTCGCGCTGTGGGACGAAGACGACGGGTGCTGTCCTGCATTTTGCGGCCTCTGGACACCCCTCCCCGAGCCCCGGGACCACCAAGAAACAACTCGAGAGGATGAGCAGCTGGTCGTGGGTAAGGGTCTTGCCGCGCTATAAACACATCGCAACGTCGGAGATCTGCACAATGGCATCTGGAATTCTTTTCGACCCGCAGAACATCCACCCGCCCCCCACAGCATCGACGCCTGCGGAGGGCTGGCTTTGAAAACTGTGAAAAATTCGGCGACAGCGGCGGTCTGCTTCACTCGTGCATTCGAGCCACACAAACTGGCGACGACCCACCCTCCCGACCCCTGACTCTTGTCCGCAACTGCCGGGGCTGTTGAAAACGACTTGGGAAGAGTGGTCCTTGGGGCAACTGGGTCCCAAGCCCTGGTGCTTCCCCCCAAGACCAGTTCTTCAACCCGCACTGATTTCTGCTGGAACCAGGGCCCGAGAGGCCAAAAGCCAAACATAAAAGTCGAGACGTCGAAACCCGTCTCCCGGGGAGCCCCCGTGTCCAGGCCTCCGACGTGCAGATGCCTTTTCACAGTGTGGACCGCCAGAGGTCTGGACCTTACCCCCCGGACCAATGCAGTGGGACCCGGGCCAGGAGAACATCCCTCAAGAACATGAGACCCTCCGCCAGCCAAAGCAGACAGAACACCCAATGGGACCCTCCCCAGGATGCGCAAGAACATCCAACAAATACGAAGAACATCAAGGCACCCTCCCCGAACCGACCTCGATCTTATACTTCGGTCCGGCTGTATATCATCCCAGCCAGTTGCCCTGCTTTCGACACGAAACCCAGACCCACAACGTCATGACGTATCCATGACGTGAGCCCCCGGAGGTCTCGACCCACTCCTCGGGAACGGTTCTCTATCTTGAGTGGTCCCGGGGCCCAGTGACCCGGAGCCGACAGGTGCCAAAAGCCTCCCGCCGTGGTGCTGTTTATGATCCGAGTGGGTGTGGGAAAAGAGGTCTGGGCAATCCATGGCGAGTTCCACACAATCGGGGCAGGACGAAAGCCCCTTTCGCAGAGGCCTTCCTCGTAGATGGGTTCGTGGGACCTCGCCGCATGACCGATACATCGGCGATGCATCGTCAATGCATCGGCCATGCACTGGCCACGTCGGCGATGCATCGGCGACGTCGGCGTGGAGAAAATTGGGCCCCATATCGAGCCGCATCGCTGATGCATCGCCGATGCATCGGCGATGCGGCGCGATCCTTCGACCCCATCTGCTCCGACCCCACCTGGGAGGCCTAGATTTAAGTCGTGTGTGTCCTCCTACAGGCGGATTTTGGATGACAGATTAAACGTAGTCCAAACATGCTCAAAAATGGTCAAAGATGGTCAAGAAAATCGTCCCACCATATTTTTCGTACTATGTTTGAATTTTTCTCCTGTAGAGGGACACGCCCGACTTAAGCCTAGATTTCGCCAAACGGTACAGACATCATCCTGCGTCCGCCGAACTGGAGCAGCACCGGCCTGCCCGCCTCCACGTACCTTTAGGCCGGGCATGTCCCCATACAGGCGGATTTGGGCGATAAATAAGAAACGCTCCAAAAGTACCCCCAAAGAGCAAAAAATGCTCCAAACATCGTCCTCCGACTTTTTGTGTGTGTGTGACTATTGTTTGATTTTCCTCCTGTAGAGAGACAGGCCCGACTTACACGTACCTCTGGCGGAACTCGCGCTCCGACAGCACGCGCGCGTCCTCGCGAGGCAGGTCGCAGGGAGGGCTCCGGGCCCCGAGCTGGCGCCTGGAGGGAGCTCTCCTCCTCCTCCTCCTCCTCCTCCTCCTCCTCCTCCTCCTCCTGCACCTCCTCCTCCTCCTCCTCCTCCTGCTCTTCCTCCTCCTCCTCCTCCTGGTCCTCCTCCTGCTCCTCCTCCTCCTCCTCCTCCTCCGGAGGCGACACCACCACCACCAGCGCGAGGCTCCAGGGAGGGCCCTCCGCTGGCGGTGGGGTATCCCCCTCTCTCGTTAGATACACTCCCCCTCCTACGCCTCCTCCTCCTCCTCCTCCTCCCCTCCTTCTCCTTGTCCTCGTCGTCCTCCTCCTCCTCCTCCCCCTCCTCCTCCTCCTCCTCCTCTCCTCCTCGTCCTCCCCTCCTCTCCTTCTCCTCCTCCTTCCTCCTCCTCCTCCTCCTCTTCCTTCTCCTCCTCCGCACGGCGGCACCGCCCGGGGTTGTTCTCAGGTCCTTTGTCCTCCTCCTCCTCCTCCTCCTCGTCCTCCTCCTCGTTCTCCTCCTCGTCCTCCTCCTCCTCCTCCCCCTCCTCCTTGTTCTCATCATCCTCTTCCTGCTCGTCCTCCTCCTGCTCCTCCTCCTCCTCCTTTCCCACTCACAGCTCGAGGCTCGTGCAGAAAGCGTGGATTGCATCGCTGGAGGTTGTCCCCCTGGTGGTGGCGGTGGTGGCGCCTCTCTTTGCCACGGGCTGGCCTACCTCCAGAGAGGCAGGTCCGACAACAGAAGGAGGGAAACATAAGTAAAGCCGACAATGGGAGAGCGGCTAATGATTGTACGTACCCGAGCGCGAAGCACGCCTTGCATAGGCCGTCCTGGTCGGAGAAGGCCCTGGCATGCGACAACAGAGTGTGGGCCTTTTCCCTGGGGAGGGGGGGAGGGGGTGCGAGATTGAAGGGGGGAGGGGATGGCCCGATATTCTCTCGTTGTGAGAATCGCGCGGGACGGTTTTGCCAATTTCCGGCCTTGTGGGGCACTTACCGGTCCCTGGGGCCGTAAGAACACGGCTCGGGATGAGAAGGGGGGGTCCTGCATCGGAGGTCCACTCCTCTTCCTCCTCCTCCTCTTTCCTACTCCTCCTCCTCCTCCTCCGCCCTCGTCCCCCTCCTCCTCCTCCAGTCCTTCCCCTTAGAAATAATTTCTCACTGTCGCACCCCGAGACTGAGACTTTCTCACCATGTATGACCCTGAAGCTTGAACAATTGACAACAGCTTCAAATATTGAGGGCGGGTGGATTTCAAAATGTGGCTCTCGCCATAGCGCCGCGCACATTCGTATTAAAACTTTGCAAGAGTTTCACGGGTTGAGGGCGGATGGTTTTCAAAATGTGGTTCTCGCCTCAGCGCCGCGCACATTCGTTTTAAACATTCGCAAGGGCTTCACGCATTAAGGTCGGTTCCTTTTCGAAATGTGTCTCTCGCCTCAACGCCGCGCACATGTGATTTTAAACTTTACAAGAGGTTTTTTTCGGATTGAGGACGGCCGGTTTTCAAAATGTGGCTCTCACCTCAACGCCGCGCATCTTCGCATTAAAAAATGACAAGAAAATCACGGGTTAACGGCGGTTTCTTTTCAAAATGTGTTTCCCGCCTGAGCGCAGCGCACATTCTTATTGCAAGGGTTCCAGGGATTCCCATGACCAACGCACCAGAATTGGTGTTCTGGTTGGCCTCCCGATTTTAAGGGCGCAACACTTACGATGATTCGCGAAGTTGAGGTCCAAGGAATGGCGTTCTGGCACGATTCAAACTCGTCAAGACGCAACCGTCAGGTTCATCCGTGGTGTTGGAATACAGAGAATAATGTTTTGGCATGCTTCAAGGTCTTCAAACGGTTGTCTGTGGACATGAGCCGTTGTAGGGGCTTATGAAGAGGGAGCTTGGAGGGATGGTTTATTCCAACATCGTTGGTCACTCTTGGGTTTACACAGGCCCTCCTCTTCCTCCTCCTCCTCCTCCTCCTCCTCCGCCTCCTCCCCTCCTCCTCCTCCTCCTCCTCCTCCTCCTCCTCCTCCTCCTCCTCCTCCTCCTCCTCCTCCTCCTCCTCTCCCCCTCCCCCTCCTCCCCCTCCTCCTCCTCCTCCTCCTCCTCCTCCTCCTCCTCCTCCTGGGCTTGCAGGGGGGGTGTTAGCGAATCGGCGCACACAGCATCGAGACGTCGGCATGCCTGGGCAGCTGGTTTTCAGAAGCGGCCGCCCGTGCCTCGAGAGGAGCGCGCCCGGGGGCGGAGCCGCAACGAGCCGCAGGCACCACGTGCCGCGTCCCCCCCTTTCCAACTGCCGCCCTCGTCTAGCCAGGAAGAGTGAGGGAGGGCGGCGAGGAGGGCTGCCTGCCCAAGGGTTCTGTTGCTCCCATCGTACTAGAGGGCCACATCCCAGAAATAATTTCGAGCACCTGGAAAAGTGTCGAGAGAGTGTTGAAACAGTGTCGAAACAGTGTCGGACGAGTGTCTACCAGGGCCCGACGTGTGAAAATCCTTGAGTTTCGGTATTGGTTTCTGGTGCACGAAATTCTTTCTGGTGATCAAGGCTAAAGTAGGTTGGAAAATCATAGCATAACCCGAGGGAGGAGAGCAGGAGGATCGGGGGAAATGGGCTCGGAGGGGGAAGGCGGGATGGGGGGGCGAGGTACAAGAGGGGGGCCTCGAAGGACGGATGGAGACAAGACGTCGCGGTTCCCTCTCACAGGACAGCGGATCCTGGTGTCTGCGGGACCCTGGTGTATACATTACACACGCGTCGCGGCTTCCCCGGGGAACAGGGATAGGAGAAAGCGCACGCCGCACCATCCAGATGTCGCCACCGACCCTCCAAAAGCCATGGTGTTGCAGAACAGCTCGCCCACTGGTAATGTATACGCTCCGCTCGATCAAAGTAAATTCGGTGAAACTAGGTCTCTGCTAAACTAGACCCGAATTTGGGCATGCTCCAGTTTCCGACTCATCCGTCTGCACAGGAGTACAAGAATTACGCCAGAGAAACAGCCCGATCAAAGGATGGTTTTACATGGGATCGATAAAACGATCGATAAGGTAGTCGACCGGGGACCCAGGAACCCGGAACCCACCAAAATCGGACTGGAACCAATGACCAAGAACACGGAAACCCAGAACCGGGAACCTGGGAACCCAGCCAGCCACCAGAATCGGTGGGGAACCCTCGCCAAATCTTTCAATTTCCGCTCGGACCCCTTCGGTGCAAGCGCTGATCCCAACCCCCCGACGTCATGATTTTTTCATAACGTCGACCCCCAGCGGTTTGGACCCATTCCCTGGGACCGGCTCTCTGTCCCGAGTCGTTTCTTGACGGTCCCGCGGGCCGGCAAGGGCCCCCAGAGGCCAAGAACAATGAAAAACCTGCTGTCGCGATTTTTTGTCAGACCTCGAGGGGGTCTGGTCGGGTCGGGCGAAAGGGGGGGATAGCAAAGGGGGGGTTTGAGAATCAGCTCGCGTAGCTGATTTTCCCGGCGCCTCCCGTCGCCAGGAGGCGGCCATGTATCGAGGAATGGGCCCCATCGGTGGGGCCGAAACCAGCTGCATTCCGCAGATTTCGTAGCCCCCCCTTTCCCAATCCCCCCCTTTCGCCCGGCCCGATCTGGGGGGGGGCGAGGGGCGAGCAGGGAGGGGGGCGAGGAGGGCGGGCCGAACAAGGGGGAGGAGGAGGAGGAGGAGGAGAAGGAGTAGGAGGAGGAGGGCGAGGAGGGGAGGGGGGCGGGGCGCGGAGGGCAGAAAAGGGAGGAGGGCGAGGCGAAAGGCGCGTTCCGACGTCTTAGGTGCCGCGGCGGAGCCCGGCCGCGAGAGGCCTCTCCCGGGCGCCCCCCTCCAAAGCACACGAGGGGGGCGACGACGGGCCTCCCGCCGGGCCCTCCTATTGGGATGCACGGAGGCAGGCCCAGGCCCCCTCGAGTCATGAAAAAATCGCGACGGGAGGTTTTTCGCTGTTCCCGGCTTGTGGGAGCCCCTACCGGCCCTCAGGACCGTCAAAAAAGGACTCAGCATGAAAAACCAGTCCCGGGGAATCGGTCCAGACATCTGGGGGTCACGTCATGAAAAAATCATGACGTCGGGGATCTGGGTACGAATACCAGATGTCCTCCTTGGAGGCGCGCGTCTGACCCGAACGCATAGTATACCCAGGCGTTCCCCGAACATATCGTATACCCAAGCGTACACCCAAACATATAGTACATACGTCCTCCGTGTAGTGTATCGTTTCCCGAGCGGTGTGGCCAGAAAACGCCCGCCACGACGCATATACTACTAAAAGATTTCTCGGTGCGCGCGTCGCCCCAGGGGGGGGGGGGGGCGACGCACACATAGCAGAAGTATGTTGGGGTGACGCCGACTCCTCGCAGCTCGAAGATGCCCACAGAACGAGTCCCTAGATTTAGGTCGGGCATGTCCTCAGGCGGGATTTAGAAGAACAGCAATAGGTAAGACACATCCAGAACTAGTCCAAACAGCACTGATAATCGTCTCCAGACTGTTGCTTTACCTGCTCTTGAGTAGTCCTCCTGTAGAGGGACACGCACGATCCCTAGATCGAACAGGCCGCCCTCTGAAAGAACGAACACGTTTTCTCACACCGCACGTGCTCCAGGACCGGTAAGGATGGGGGGAGGGAATGAGAGGGAGAGAGAGAGGACCAACAAGCAGATAAAAACATACAAGAACAAAAAGAGAACAGGGAGGGAGACGGCAAATACGCCCAAGCCCAGCTCCTGCAAAGGGAAGGGGAAGGGTGCGCCCAAACCTGCTGACACGCTGCCGCAATCCGCCTCCGAATCCTGAAAATCCTCAGGGCACCTCAAAACTCGATCCTAGTTGGATTGAGATGCGGATGTCATGATTGGTTCACAGCGTGACCCCCCGAAATCTAGACCCCTTCCCAAGAGCCGGCTGTACCCAGAGTCTTTGTTTGAAACGGCCCCAGGGCCTGGCGAGAGGCTCCCGTGGCCGAAGACAGCAGCAGTCAACATCTCCCGTCGTATTCTTCTCACGACGCCCGGGTCAGAAATCGATCATGCCCCGGCACATCATGAGGTGCGGTATGATCAGAATTTCTAGGCGGGCCCGGTCTTGGCGACAAAAAGCCTCACGGTTATCCTCCAGACCCGAGGAGGAGGCGGAGGAGGAGGAGGAGGAGGAGGGGAAGGAAGGAGAAGGAGGAGGAGGAGAAGGAGGAGGCCGAAAGTTTTTGTTCGATCTACGCTGGAGGTCTAGCCCCTCCTCGTGGTTCGCTCTCCGCTTCGGGAGCTGCCAGCGGTGCCCCCGGCCGAGGGTGCCTCCAGCTATTGGATCCCTTTGAGAGCCACCTGGGCCTCGCGAGGGGTGCTCCGCAGGCCCGTGGCCAAAGGTGGGCCAAAGCTTAGTGGGCCCCGGAAACGGCAGGGCGGTGTTTTCAACGCGTTTGGAAAGACAGCGTCTCGAACATGGAAGCGAGAAACAAAACTTGCGACCAAAAACGGCAAAGAAACGCGGCCAGGATTGGAACCGCAACCGGAAACAAAAACAACGGAACTTACACAAAACGGCGACAGCACCGGGAAAGAAGCAGCAAAACGGAACCGGCAAAAACACGGCCCCGTCGCTTCCAGGGCCCACCAAGGGCCAGGAACACTTCTAGCAATACCCGGCCGTTGCTCGCCGCGGGAGCGCCTGAGCTCGCCAGCGCCCAGCACGAGCTCGCCGCGGGCGCGGGCTCGGGCGTCCTCCGCGAGGGCGGCGGCGGCGGAGCGGAGGCCTCGGGGCTCAGTGGGCACGGCGGCACCGCCCTGGTCTTCCCGGGGTTGTTCTCAGGTCCTTTGTTCTCCTCCTCCTCCTCCTCCTCCGCCTCCTCCTCCTCGTTCTCCTCCTCCTCCTCCTCCTCCTCCTGCTCCTCCTATTCGTTTCCCTTCTCCTCCTCCTTCTCCTGCTCCTCCTCCTCCGCCTGCTGCTCCTCCTCCTCCTGCTCCTCCTCCTCGTTTTCCTCTTCCTCCTCCTCCTCCGCCTCCTCCTCCTCCTGCTCCTCCTTTTCGTTGTCCTTTTTCTCCTCCTCCTCCTCCTGCTCCTCCTCCTCCTCCTCCTGCTCCTCCTCCTCGTTTTCCTCCTCTTCCTCTTCGTCCTACTCCTCCTCCTCCTCACCAGCACAGTGGATTGTCCTCAGGTCCTTCGCCCAAGTCCCCTGAGCCTCAGTCCTCACTCCTGAAAATCGGTTTAAAAGGCCCAGAGCCCGAATTGCCAAATCTCTTGGGCCTTGGCGCGGATCCTCCCGGTCCCCCCCGCGGCTTCCCGCATGACTTTCTCGGGCCCAAGGGGGCCCAGCACAGGCCAAGAGGGCCGCAAGAGGCCATGAAAAGGAACACCACCACCAGCACAGGTGGTTGACACCATCATCCATCGGAGGAAGAGGGTCCTACATGTTGGTGCTGGTGATGGTGGAAATAGGTTCGGCCACCTAAAAAAGGCCTGAGCATTACCACCACTGCCGATAGCAGGAGCCCCTCCCCTCGTTAAGGGTTAAGGGCGGCCGCCAGCGCAGGTGCCTCCGAGCCGAGGGACCTGGCGGCACCGCCCTGGCCCTCCTCATAGGGCCCCACAGGGGCAGCAGAGCAGCAAGCAGCCCGAGGACGCTGAGCACGTCCTCTGCCGCGGGCCCGGGGAGCGCGCAGGTCGGTCGAGCAGCCCAGGGCGAGCGAGCTGCGAGCTGGGCCCAGCGAGGGGAGGGGAAGAGGCGGAGGAGGCGGTCGCCAAGGGAGGGGAGAAGTGACTACCTGCCAGACCACCCCAACCAAACCCGAAGACCCAAATTTCGGGTTGGGGGGGGGTATGGGTTCCATACCTGTTTTTTCGATGTTCCCCGACCCCCCCCCACTGGAACTGGAGGGCACATGGAGGCCTTCGGGTTGGGTTGGGGTGGTTTGGTAGGTGGTGAAGAAGAAGCGGAGGGGGGGGGGCGGCTCTCAGACCGTGGAGGCCCTGCGGAGGTGGGGCGGCGGCCCAGGCTCCGGTGTGCAGCCTCGGCAGGACGCGGGCCCCACGGCCGAGGGCAGGGCGACTTCTCGCGCGGTGGCTGGTGCGGGTCGCCAGCGAGGCACGCTCCGTGGAAACCCAGGGAGCGGTGCGCGCGAGAGCGCGGGCAGCTTTCGCGCGAATGCCCGCGCCGTCGGCCCCGTCTTCTTCCGCCGCGCATGCAGATTCCAGTCTGGACTCCCTGGGGTGTTGAATAATCCAGGCGATGGGCAGCATATGACGGTCAGGGCACAACCACCAGCGCGATGGGCCGCCCAGACCACCCCTCGACATGAACACGGCACGACCGAATGCTTTCCCCAAGGTCGGCTACTGGCGGACCTTACTGGGTCCCTGGGGATGAAGAACAGCTCCCCGGGAAAAAGTCCAGAACTCCATGGCCCACGCTGAACAACAATCACGACGATTCCTCCTGGCGGTGCGGCCCCACTGGTCCGCGAGAAACGTCTGCAGTCTCTGGCTCGGGGCGACATGCATCGTGGACCCCCTTGCCGGAGGTACCCCCCCCTGGTGGTGGTGGGCGTCGTTTCTCCTCACCCCGAAGGCCGAGGGCGACGCAGCATCGCAGGGCCACCCAAGTGGGGCCAAATGCGTCCCATTGCGCGCCAGCCATCCTGAGCACAAATTGCTAAGAGGGCAGGACGAGGGAGACACGAGGGAGGGGAAGGAAGAGAGGTACTTCGACTCAATAGGCACTGGGAAAAATTGGATGGGCACTGACACTTTGACTCAACGGGCACTGGGAGCGCAACGACCGCGCAAACACAACACGAGGCGAAGAGAAAACAACGCTGCGAGAAACAGGGCGAGCGGGGAGGGGAAGGGGAAGGAGGGGGGGAAAGGAGTGCGAGGGTGAGAAGAGAGAGGAGGGTGTCGAGGGCGAGATGATGAAGGAGCAGGATGAGAAAACAGAAGAATGAGGAGAAATGGGAGGAGGAGGAGGATGAGGAAGAGGAGGAGGAGGATTATAATAGGATGACGACGAGAACAGGAGAAGGAGGATAAAGGAGAAGGATGATGATGATGATGATGATGAGGAGGAGGAGGAGGAGGAGGAGGAGGAGGTGGAGGAGTGGACGAGGAGGAGAAGAAGGAGG